CTCCTCGGGAGTTGCTAAAAGTCTGGCTGGCCAGACCGTCTTGGGGGAGAGGTCTCCTCGCCGTCGGACTGCAGCGCGACCGGCGATGAATCGGCGGGCGGCTCCTTAATCGATTATGCCGCGGTCAAGGTCTGCACCCACTTCGAGCTGCGGGGGTTCTTTGGAGTAGCCTGGGAGACCCATTGCGGACTCCAGCTTGATGTCAGGGGGCCTTCAAGAAGCAGTGGCATGAGCGTCTCCAGCTGGCTGACCCCCCCCCTCGTGTCTTGCGATCGAAGAAGGCAGCGAACCCCGACAGCAAGCGGTCCGAGCTGCGCTCTGAGTCCATGGGCAACGGCAGGGCAGCTTTACCTGATGATGCCTTGACGCGAGAGTTCGATGCTCTCCATGAAGAGAAGCAACCCGCTGAAACTGCAGAAGAAGCCACTCCCTCTCATATTCCTGCGTAGTCTTGGTCAACTGCGGTCAGGCAGCTTCCTGTACATGCAGAGGTTGAGTGTCTGCAATTCGGCCTTTTCCCTGGGCCGTTCAATACTTCGGGATCGGACATGGTTGCGTCCGCTAGTTCAAGCTGGGCCACCAAGACTGAGGGCGCAGTCGCCAGTCATCTTGGCCCCCCCCCGAGAGCAGGAGGAGCTCAGCAGAGCCTGCGGTTTCCAACTTGTCTGGCAGGGGTACAAAACAGCCCCGGGACGAGCGCGCATGGTCGATGGCTTTGCTGAATGGTGAGACTTAGCTCGCACCGGCCTGGCGAGGCACGCAGCTCGTCGACGTGGCAAAGATCCTGCTTAACAGGCGGCATGTCTTAATCATGTTCAATCACGGTGTCGCGAAGCAGAGCACCTCGACGCAGCTGAATATACTATTGGCAAGTCTAGTCCTGGGGATCGTGCGTGCTGGCAACGGTGGGCCAGCGCAATTGTCGGCTCCTCGGACGCCGAGCCGCAGGATCTCGTTTCGCTCGCCGAGAGGCTGGCAGGCAGAGCCCAAGGCAGAGCAATGTGCAAGCGTCGCAGCGAATTTGTTCCCTGGGCCAATGCACAGTGGAAGCTAAGGCCAGGCAGGTTACACGCCTAGGTCAAGCCTGCTGGCCGAATCGCACACCCACCTCTTGTCGGAGGCAGCGCGCTGGCTGACCCTGTCAGCCAGCTGTGGCACAAACAAAGCAGCTGGGAAAAGTCGTGGACGGATCCCGTGGACACGCCCGACGACATCCTCCAGACCATGGCTCATTTGCGGGGGCGAGCGGCCGATGATCCTCTTCCTCCCTTCGACCTGGACAGAGTAGATGACGTTGCCAGGAAGTGACCCACAAAAGCATCGGGAATGGACGCGCTCACTCCACAAGATATCCAAAGGCTGCCCCCTGCGGGTCGACTGAACTTTAGGCAACTGTTGGAAGACGTTGAAACAGCAGGTAGCTGGCGCGGATCGCTCATGGGCACGATCGGAACGCTGCTACCCAAGCTCAAACGAGGCGAGAGAATTATCGGCTCGTAGCCAGAGACGCCGAAGATCGGGAGTCGCATTCGCGACGAAGTCACCTCTTCCTGGTCTGATGGGTCGGGCGCTTTCTACGACGCCGCAGCGGCAGGCAACAGCGCCTTGCGAGCAGCGTTCTTCCGTGCGCTGCTGGGCGAGATCGCGGTGCCTCTGGGGATATCTACTGCCGCGCTGCTGCTTGACTTCGAGAAGTTCTATGGCTCGCTGCCCTGGGTTTTGCTATCCGAATCGGCGTTATCGCTGGAGTCCCCCCCGGCTGTGCTGCTGCTGGAGGTCCAGCTTTGCGCGGCGCCTCGGTGCCTCCGAGGTCAGCTTGGATCTGCTGATCCCATTTATCCCGCGAGGCCCTTGGTGGCTGGCTCCCCGCGCGGGGCAAGGATGGCCATGGCGCTTTTTACATCCGCTGCTGCAGTCAGCTCATCACAAGGCTGCGCTCGCCACCTCTTTGACCATTTATCGCTGATGCGGCCGCGAGGAATGAGGGCTCAAGGCAGATGGTCAAAGATCACCTGTTGGCCCCCGCGCAAGCGTGGCGCGAAGAGGCTCGCTCGCGTCGGCTTATCATGTCGGACAGGTCGGTCATCGTCGCCTCGAGCACCCAAAGATGGTCGCGAAGTGGCAGGTGCATTACCGCGGCAAGGCATGCCTGTGAGGTTTTGCTCGGGCGGCGTGGACGTGGGAGTTGATGCTGCAGCTGATCGTCAGAGAGCGGTGGAGGAATCAGCTCTCAGGCTTGCCGCTGGCGCTAGGAGAGCCATGCACATTGCCGGGCAGAAGCGTCGCGCAGCCCTTCGACGTGCCGCCCGCGGTTCGTGGGCCGCAGGCGCGCTGCCGCCAAGTGCGCATGGTTTTCAAGTGCAAGGCCCGTCGCCGTCCAACCTCGCCCTGCTCGGGCGCCCGGCTGCGAGTGCGCGCGCACGGCCCACCGAAAGCAAGTGCCTCGCCGCGCCCTTGGCCTTGACCCACGGGCTCAGGGGTCCGGGCGTGGAGCTTCGTCGCGCGCTGGTGGCGGGATATTTTTTCTTTGACGAAAGAAAACCAGTGCCCACTCGCGAGTTGAGCGAGCGTGGCCAGCAGTTCCTGGCAGGTTGATGGATGTTGGCAACCGCAGATGGCCGGCGGTCGAAGGGCCATTGTCGGTGTTGATCGCCACCATTCTTGACGCAAGGTGGCAGCCGCGTTCGACCACGCACTGGCTCCGACCGTCTGAAGGTGCATGGGGGAACTAATATTTTCCAACGTGCAGTTTGCCCAACTTCGAGGCCGAGGGTCACGGCGTCTGTGAGGTGCTTGGCGAGCTGGTCGGGGATGTTCGTCGGCAGGTGCGGGTGAGTGTCTCACCTCAGGAAGCTGGCGAGGATCTGTTCCGCGGCGCGGACCTCCACTGGGCCAGCCGCGAGCTGGACCGTTTCGCGAAGTCGGGCGAGCTCGGCCAGTTCGGCCTGAGCGCGCGCGTCGCCACGGGCGCGCAGTGGACGAGGGGGCGCCAGTGCCCCCTGGGCCCCCAGAAGGAAAATAAATGCCCACGTTGTCTTGAGGATGATGAGGGTTTGCTCCACAGGATTTGGCTCTGCAGGAAACGTGTGGGTCACGCTGATTACAGCAACAACGATTCACTGGTGCCCCGGGCCCTTGCGGGCTCAGAAACCAACCCGACCTGATCCTGAGCTCTCTGGCCTCTCCCTCGGTTCCCAGAGCCTCCGCGACTGCTCTGCGTCCAGAGATTCCGAGGCTGTCTCTGTCTTTGGAGATGGTTCGGGAGGCAAGTTCTCTTCCGACCCTAGGAGAAGACGGTGCGGCTCGGCTTCTGCCGTTATTCGAGGGGTTGTTTCAAACGGTCCTGGCTCCTGGGAGGTCCTCGGGGGCTTCTCTGGTGTCCTGCGGGGTCGAAGGCAGACAGTGCCTCGATCCAGGCTGCAGGCTTTCGCCATGGCCTTAAAGCAGACCTCTGGAACCATCGCGTATGTGACCGATCGTTTCCCTTTGTTGTCGGGCTGGGAGCGGGGGAGGGCTCGGAGCACTGTTGGCTCTAATTCGGACATGTGGCTGAGAATGAAGACCGCCGTTGACAGCAAAGGCCAGGGCTCCGTCAGTGTCGTTTGGACCCTCTCGCATGTCACGGAAAACAGTATTGAATGAAGTGTTCATGAACAGTTTGTGGAAGCTGGCAATAGGTTTGGCTAACGAGGCGGCTGTGGAGGCTGCATCCAGGGCGTGGGCTCTCAGTCTGGTCGGACCTGAACCCAAGATTGATCTCTGGAACGTCACAGTCGCCCTAGTGATGCGCAGGGCCCGAAAGGCCCTGGCCGATTTTGCTGCCGCCGACCCACGTACGTACCCCTTGGACAAAGCCTGCCCTGGTCCTGAGGTGGCCAGAAGAGGCTCCAAATCAGAGGTCGCCGTTCGGAACTCCGACCACCGATTTGAGGCGGTAGGCGAAGTGTTTCGTTGCAGTAAGTGTGGCCCTCTTTCGTCCAAGGAGGCCCTCGTCCAAGTCTGTAAGACTAGTTGCGTTTCCAGTGTGCTGGCCGATTTTTCCAGGGACGTTGTCCTCCAGGTTCGGGGTCCTGTGGAGGTTCGCGGGACCGTGCTCCATAGATCCCACTCTTTGGCCCGGTGGGACCTGCATGATTTGTTTTTTGTGTGAGATGTGCCCGTTCGACCACTACCGACGGCCCATCCCTCGCAAAGGTCGGGAGAAGTTGGGGCGTATCAAGAAGGGACTCTTCCCTTCGTATGCTGGCGCCTCGAAGTTGGCGCGGGACATCGCTCACACGCGGGTGTTGTCCGCAGCTACACAGCGTGCTGAGATTGAGCGACAGCCAGAAACCACCCCGCCGTTTGTGGCGGCCCCTCCCCGCCCTCCTTTCGGAGGGGGTGAACGGTGGGGGGAGGGGACCCTCAGGGTCGCCTCCGGGGGTTCTGGTTTCTCTTCCCCTTTCCCCTCTCTCCCCTCTTCCTCAGCACGCTGCTCTTTACAGTAAGGAAGCGAACTCTATACACCGACGCCTTTGTCTGGCCTCACACTGAACCTCGCACATGAATGCGGATCCTGGTGTACACGGGTTCCTGATGTATGCATTCTTCGTTGTTCCCCAGGGAAAATGAAGAAAAAGTATACACCACACCACCCCGGCGTCGTCCCCGAAAAAAAGTCCTGGGACTGAAAAGCCGCCCGCCACTGGTAAGGTATATGCTCCAGCTTCCGAGACAAAGAGTCCAGAAGAGTCCTCCTCCTCCCCCGCCACTCCTCGTTCCTGCTCCTCGTCCTCGAACGAGACCGCCTGCGACCCCGTGCCTGGCACGCGCGCGCGCCAAGCTCGGCGACACGCAAGAGGGACCCTGGGTACGAGTGACCTTGGGTGCGCGGCTTTTTGGGGGCCGCGGGGGGACCAAACCTGGGCGCGCAAGCCGCTGCTCCTGCTTCTTTTTCAGCCGCCTGGGGACCCATCTGTGCCCGCACCAGAGGTCACTCCGGCGAAAGGTCCCTCTTACGTCTAGTCGACAAGCGCGGGGTGGCCACGCCTCACCACGCCCTGCCCGGCATGCCGAGCGCCGCCCTGCCGCGCTCGGAGAGGAGGCGCCCGGCGGGGATGCCCTCCTGGCGCGCGCACAGGCGGCAGAGGATACCGTCGGGGCGCTGACCTAAGGAACGGTAGATGAGGAACGAGGCCCCTTTTGCCCACAAGTTAAACTTCGAAATGGAAAACATCAGGAAGACCTAAGGCAAGCTGTGAAACAATCCAGAAGCACGGAGGCCCTCCCAAACGAACAGGGTTCCTTCTTCGGCGCCCCGACTGTACCGAGATCGGCGGTCAGGCACTGAGATCGGCGGATCGAAAATCGAGAGATTGACAGATGACGAGTCCGATCGGAACGCCATTCGCAGACCAACAGCTGCGGCCATCCCCTCCAGAGTGCCGTCCACACGTCGTGCGTCAAAGGGGTCTATGCCTGCGAGCCAGCTTCTGGATCCGCCTCTCCCGGGCCCAACGTCGACTGTACCACCGTCGAGCTTGGGATGGTGCCAAGGAAAGCCATTACAGTCGGGGCGTTGACCTAAGGAACCCTAAATAAGGAACGAGGCCCCTTTCTCCCATAAGTTGAACTTCGGTTTCCCATGGGAAACCTCAGGAGAACCGAAGGTACACTGCAGAACAAGCAAGGAACACCGAGCCCCTCCCCAACGAAAAGGGTTCCTTCTTCAGGGCCCCGACTGTATGAGGACCCAGAGAGGGAACATGAACAAAAATGCTCCAAAAACGGAGGACGGGCAAGGACAGGGAGCCCAGAGGAACTGGGGGCAAAGTGGACGGGCCGCGGGAAGGGGATTGGATAGAGGTGAGAGGGTGGAGAGTGGAACATGCGAGAATACTGTGATGTCGCATCCATAGAAGTGAGTCCTGCGGTGCGTTACAACTTCAGGGTAACCCTTGCAAGACCTGGCTGTGTCGTCGCAGCTGCTTGGTACGACAAGTGGACAACGCCCCCCCCACCCCCTTCCCAGCACGCTGCAACCCTCAAGACACGAAGAGGCAGACGAAGAGCGGCGTGCGCGGAGCTTCCTGGAACGTCGCGAGCCACCTGGTCGGATCGATGAGCCACTCGGGATCCGTGGGCCAGGTGAGGCGGCGCTTCATCTCCGCGGCCGGCTCCCCGAAGAGCACGGCCTCGCCGCTGTCCTGCCGGCTCGGGGAGGGCGGCACGCGGACAGGGGGCGCGGCAAGGCGGTGGCCGGCACGCCGGCGGCCGTGTCCTCGCGATGTGCCCCCCCGGTCTCTTCGAGAATCCCCAGTCGTACAGTCATCAGGAACGAAGCCCCTTCTTCTCAAGGGAATAACGCATAAGGAACGATACATCATACATAAAGCATGAGGAACAACAAATAACGCATGCGAGCCTAAGGAACGGCCGAGCCCCTTTTGAAAAGTAAGTGTTCCTTGCTCAAGCCGCTCACTGTAGAGCAGCAGGGCAGTCTACCGCAGCTCGGATGACTGCCACGAGAGGTGCATCAAGGAGGAGGGCTCGCAGATCAGGGCCCGAGGCCCGTGCGCAGGACCGAAAGACGCACTGAAATAGGAGGATGGGCTGTGATAGCCGGGGGGATAGCATGACCTTGGCCATGATACCATTAGGGTTTAGGGTTTAGGGTCTCACTTCCCCCGAATCATCGCCTCCGTCTCAGCCGCCCTCGAGCCGCCCATTGCCGATGATTTCGAACACCCTATGGCCGGTGTGGTGTTGGGGCTTTGTCCGGGACGGGCGATAGGGGGGATAGCAAAGGGGAAATCATCGAATCAGCTCACGCAGCTCGCTTTCCCGGCGCGTCCAAGCACCCGAGGCGGCCATGTATCGCGGCACGCGCCTGGTGATGGGGCCGAAACCAGCTGCATGCAACACATTTCGTACCCCCACCCTTCACAGCCACCCCTTCCGTCAGACCCGATCCTTCGCCACATGGGAATATAAGGGGTCCGTGGTCAGTGCAGTTGTATCATTCGTTTTGGCAGTTTTGCTAGCCATCGGGACAACAATCGTTGTCTTGATGTTAACAGGAGTGTAAATGCCCAGAGCGCTTAGAACACAATTGCCACTCATGACGTAGGTGCCAAAAACAAATCAAGAAGAACAGCCTGACCGTGGTTTTGCTCGTTTGGAAGAAGATCGCAACAACACTGGCGATGCAAGCTGCAGTCGACCTGTCGTAGCCGGAGTGGCGGCACCAGTACTGTCAACTTACATTACACCTCGTTGTGATTGCCGCAATTGTGTTGGTAGTGGTGGTATTTGGAACATCTGTAGCGCTGTAGAACTAGCGGAGGTAGTATGTGCGTGCGTGTGTGGAACAAGGGTAGATGTCTTGCCAGTGGCCGTGACCGATACGACCACCGACTGGACCTCCCAAAAGCTTCGGACAAAACGAATGTGTGTATGTAGGTATTCAACACACTATATTTGCACTTAGGGGCTCTTACGTGCTACTGGGGAACTGGGCCTGCCTGTCAGTCTGGCGGTTACGTTGTCCCCATCGCCGCCTCGTCGCCGCCCGTCGTCTGATGCCGTCGTCGCCGCCCGGTCGCCGCCGACATAGATTTTCCTTTGTAAAACAAGAGAGAACACAGTCTAGCCCCCCAAAAAATATCGGTACCCCTATTCGTATCGCAATTTACGTACGATTCTACCCCATCGTGCATCATAAATATGAACTCGTACCATCCAAGCCCAACCAGTATCGACTCTCCCCCGTCATCTTCAGCAAAACACATGCGCGCACTCGTTTACCAAAAACCACAAAGTGTAAACAATCCCTTGCGACAGAAACGGGGCGAAGTGTGCACGCGCGCGTCGTCGCGCGCGCATGCCGAAACCCTCGTAAAACATTCGGTGTCTGATTGATTTCGAAATCGACGGTCCAAACAACATATAAAAACTGATGGTTTCGTAACACGGATGTTCCAGAAAAGCTTGCGCGCGCGCTCTTGCGAATTCTTCTGCAAACCATCGGTTTTCCACCTTCTCATCAAATGCTACCAAACGGGCTTCGCGCGCGCATGTCGAAATCGTTCGAACGCCCTTGCGCGCGTGCTGGGTTGGCACGGTCCGTGTCAAATAATATCATGCGGCCACTCTCGCGCGTCTGCCGCGCACACACTTCGAACTCCTTCCAACACCTTCATCACCGACGCGAAGACGCCGTCATCGTCGTCGGCGTGATCAACATCCGCGGCCGCGCCAGCAGCTCCTCCCTTGGCGGCGCCGCGCCCTCCTGTAGGCTTGCCCATGCCGCCCATCGCAGGCTTGGCGGCCCGCGCGGCGCCGCCTCCTGCTGCGCCTGCAGCGCCGCCTGCGCCACCAGTTCCTTCGGCCGCTGCGGCCCTGGCGAGTCGGGGCGGAGGCGGGGGCAGCATCCTGCCCACGCCAGGGGGCATGGCTGCGAAGCCTCCCGCGGCCCCGCCCGGGCCGACGCCCAGGAGCCCGCCCGCGGGGCCCACCAGCGCGCCGCTAGCGCCTGCGCCTCCCACGCCTGGCGCCGCTCCGCCCCCGAACATCAAGGGGAGCGGGCTGGCGCTGTGGCGGCACGCCCCGCGGCGGAGCCGCCGCGAGCCCAGGCCCTGCTCAGCGGGCCGCCATCCCGCACCACGAGAGGATGGCCTGAGCCGCCGCCAAGGGGGGGGTTATACAGGTACCCCCAGAAACCCCTTTGTTTGCCTGAACGGCTTATATATATATATATATATATATATATATATATATATATGGTTGAGGGGCGAGATCGAAGTGAAACGGAAAGCCCCCCTACCGGGAAATCGATTTCGGTTTCGTGTTCGTGCCGTGCGTGCGGGCGAGGCGAAGCTGCGTGGGCGGGGGAGAGGAAATTCTCCTGTGGCTGGGCCGCGGCTGGACCAAAAGGTTCTCCGCCTGGCAACCGATGGCGCGCGGTGTCCCGCCGGTGTCCCGCTGGTGTCCCGCAGGTGTCCCGCCGGTGTCCCGTCGTGGCTGCGGCAGGACCAAAAGGTTCTCGGCCCGGCAACCGGTGGCGCGCGGTTTCCCGCTAATGTCCCGCTGGTGTCCCGCTGGTGTCCCGCCGGTGTCCCGTCGTTGTCCCGTGGTGTCCCGTGGTGAGATCGACAGTGAGATCGATAGTGAAATCGGTAGTGAGATCGATAATGAGGCCGATCGTGAGATCGATAGTGAAATCTATAGTGAGAAATCTATAGTGAGAGATCTATAGTGAGAGATCTATAGTGAGATCGATCGCGATGTCGATAGTGAGATCGATAGTGAGATCGATAGTGATATCGATCGAGTGGGATCGATAGCGAGATCGATAGTGGGATCGATCGTGGGATGGATAGTGAGATCGATAGTGAGATCGATAGTGAGATCGATTGTGTCCCGTTGGTGTCCCGCTGGTGTCCCGTGGTTTCACGTGCTGTGATCGATAATGATATCGATAATGATATCGATGGTTCGATCGATGAGACCGATCGTGAGAACGATCGTGAGATTGATAGGAGATCGATCGTGAGATCCCATTGCTGGCCCCCTCCCCCCCCGACCTCCTTATCACCCGCAGGGTGGTCGTATATATATATATATATATATATAGATCGGAGGTTAGGGGGTGAAACCGACGTGAAACGGGTACCCCCCCTACCGGGATATCGATTTCGGTTTCGGGTTCGTGTCGTGCGTGCCTTGCGCGCGTGCGGGCGAGGCGAAGCTGCGTTGGCGGGCGAAAGGAAATTCTCCTGTGGCTGGGCCGCGGCCGGACCAAATGTAACTCCTCCAGCGGCCTGTGCCGCGCGGGGTCCCGCCGGTGCCCTGCGGGTGTCCCGAAATCCTCTTGTGGCTGGGCCGCGGCCGGACCAAATGTTTCTCCTCCGGCGGCTGGTGCCGCGCGGTGCCCCGCCGGTGTCCCGCTGGTGTCCCGCGGTGTCCCGTGGTGTCCCGTGGTGTCCCGTTGAGTGAAATCGATAGTGAGATCTATAGTGAGAGATCTATAGTGAGATCTATATTGAGATCGACGTGGTACCCCGAGGTGTCCCGTGGTGTCCCAAAAAATGAAATCGATACTGAGATCGATAGTGAGATCGACAGGGTTCCCGTGGTGTCCCGTGGTGTCCCGTTGAATGAGATCGATAGTGAGATCGATACTGAGATCGATGTGGTGCCCGAAGTGTCCCGTGGTGTCCCGTGGTGTCCCAAAAAATGAGATCGATAATGGGATCGATACTGAGATCGGCAGGTGTTCCGTGGTGTCCCGTGGTGTCCCGTTGAGTGAGATCGATAATAAGATCGATGTGATATCCCGAGGTGTCCTATGGTGTCCCGTTGAGCGGGGTTGATAGTGAGATCGATAGTGAGATCGATAATGAGATCGAAAGGTGTTCCGCGGTGTCCCTTGGAGTGAGATCAATAGTGAGATCGATAGTGAGATCGACAAGTGTCCCGTGGTGTCCCGCGGTGTTCCGTTGAGTGAGATCGATAGTGAGATCGATTGAGGCAGATGCTGGTTTCTCCCCCCGCTCCCCCCCCACAAACTACTCATCACCCGAAGGTTGGTCGTATAGGTGTAGATATGTGTGTATAGCACTACGTAAGCTCTCCTTGCTGAACAAGAATCCAGGCAGCGCTCTAGTGCGTGAGTGGTCTCACGAGTTTCCTCTTCCAAACCTCCTCCCCCTTCGGAGAGGGGCCCCAGAAGTGACCCCACGAGGCCCCCAAGAAACCTCCACGAGGTTCCAAAAGGCCTCCCAGACGCGCCCGAAACGCCTCGAGAGGCACCCGAGACTGCCAAAGGACCCCCCAGAACGCCCTAAGAGGACCCCAACAAACTCGCGAAAGAAAGCCGAAGAGACTCCGAGGGGCATCGAAGAGGTCTCTGTCCTTTCCGCTCGCCCTCCTCCTCCACATCCTCCTCCTCCACATCCTCCTCCTCCTCCTCCTCCTCCTCCTCCTCCTCTTCCTCCCCATCTTCCTCATCCATATGGTCCTCCTCGTTCCTTTTCCTCCCCCTCCCCCGCTCCCTCCTCCTCCTCCTCCTCCTCCTGCTCCTCCTCCAGTTCCTTCTCCATCCCCCCCTCTTGGGGCACGACGTCTAACTCAGCCCATTATTCCACTGAGTTCTGTTCCACATCTCTGATCTGGGCAACTCGTCTGTGCATCATTTCTGGATGGCCTGGTTG